GTCAGGCAGCGGAGAAGGACGGGACACGTGTTTTGAGGACAAACTGTGGGCGGAGGATTTCTGTGGTGAAGGAGTGGATTTTTAAGTCCCTATGCAAGAATGTAAGGGAAAGTTCTACCTCCCCATGCCTGCGCCCCCAACCTTTTGCTATTTCAGAATTAAACAGACCTGTACCTTCATCCACAACAGTGCACTAGCAACAGAATTCAATGAGATTATGCACGTGAAAGTGCTTAGCAAGTTAATATTTGTTCAGTCCTGGCCCAGCGCAGGGTCATGTTACTGGCACTGGAGAGGCTGGCAGACTCCCCCTCCCTGCATATTAACACCAACCACCCAGCAAGTGGGGAACCAGAGTTAGAGATCGCATCTCTATCCCACTTGGGAAGGATGTTCACCACCCACCTCTCTTGCCCACTCCCCTCCTTCGCCAGCAGCCCTCCTTTTAAAACAAAGGTATTTTTTAAAGAAATACACAACCCCATGACGCACACAGTTACCCAAAGCTCCCCATGGTCTCATTCACGGTCTGGGCGGGGGGGGGGGGGGGGGGGGGGGGGGTTGGAGATAGGGGCAGGGTAAGCCCTGGAGGGCCACCTTGAGCCCATACCTTCCCTCAGGAGCAGGAAAAAGCAAGCCACCCAGAGGTCTGGGATAAGGCAGGGTGTCCATGGCAGCCAGAACCCTGGGAGAGGATGGAAATGAGAAGCTGCTTTCTCCTATTTCCTAGGGCCTTATGTAGTTCCCCATTTCTTCCCACCATTGAGGGTGAAGATACCCTGCCCTCCAAGGTAGAGTCCACTACTCAGTCCCCCCACATTCAATCAAGCCCCACCCCCAGCCCCGCCAAAGGGCACTGGGCTCTTTTTAGGCTTCCTGGCACCGCTTTCCTTTGGGGGGGGGGGGCGTGGCACACCGCACATGCTGTGGGATCTCAGCTCCCCGACCAGAGGTCGAACCCGGGCCCTTGGCAGTAAAAACACGGAGTCCTAACCACTGGACCACCAGGGAATTCCCAGCCTTTGTTTTTTTTTTCCTTTAATGTTCATTTCTAGAAAACTTCCCAATCACTCTTCACAGGCCAAAGAGGAGGCACTGAGATGTGTGTAAGATTACAACCTACTAGCAACCCTTCAGCACCCTGCTGTTTCCTGAGGCTTTTCATACCCTTTTTGTCATGTAATCATCCCATTTTAAAGACCAGAAAATCGAGATTCAAGTAGCCCAGGGCTGCACAGCCCAGCTGCCAAGACTCAAACATGCATCTTCCTGCCCTGAAACTCTCGGTGCTTGCCCTGTACCATACAAGTCACTGCGGAGCTCCAGGGACAGTGAAAGCAACTGCAGCAAATGCAATACCGGCCAATGGACGGTGCCCTCCAAGGCATGGGGGCAGGGCGTGCTGACCAGCCAGCCACACACCCTCCCGGCTTTCCACACAAAGCTGCTGGAAGACTGTGCATGCAGGGGAGGGGGGCGACGGGGCTGAGCAACAGCCGCGCGAGCAAAAGCGATGCCAGGGCTTTAGTCAACAGAGAACTAATATGAGTCAACAGCGGGTACCGCTGCCAAGCACACTGATGGGATCTTCAGCTGCATTAATAGAAGGGGAGAGTCTCAGGCAGGCCGAGGGAGTCCTGCCTGCTCTGACCTGACCACACCTGAGGGCAGGGCAGGGCTGGGCTACGGACACGGAGGCACCTTCCAAGGCAGCGCCAGGGTTTCTGAAGAGGAGTGGCTCAGGGTGGCACTCTGGTCTGTAGGGCGGAAGCTGGGTTTGGACAGCAAGCCCACTCCAGACTGCACATTACCGATGGATTTTTTTTTAAAAAAGATCCTGTCTATCCACAGCAAAGGTTAAGAACACTCAGGCATGTCAGAGGACAAGGCCACCACCTGGGGGAGGAGCCCCAGGCCCTGTCATTTGCTTCCTCCTTCATTATATATAACAGCTGGGTCGTGGCTTGACCGAGAAGTGGCCCTGACACAACACGTAATCTAAAAATGGGGAATTCCCTGGTGGTCCAACGGTTAGGACTCGGGCTTTCACTGCCGTGGACCCGGGTTCAAACCCGGGTTCGATCCCTGGTCGGGGAACTAAGATCCTACAAGCCGCTCAGTGTGGCCAAAAAATAAATTAAAACAAAAAAATTTTTTTGAATGCACAAGGGACATTGGATTTGACATCCTAGAGCCTCAAGTGTCAAAGTCTCTGGGAAGTCCTCCCAATTCATCCACCAGCACCCTGTCCGGTGAACCTGTCGTTATCACTCAGCATCACTTAACAATAAAAAGACGCTCTGCTACACGTGTTTCCCAAGAGCCTCAAGGCCACCTCTCATTCACCTTTGGGTCCACAGCCCAGCATCTGGTACACAGAGACGCCCAATAAATGGTGACAACTGAAAACCGAGGTGCCCCAGCACGATCACAGTGAGGGTGTTGTGTTCGAGGCAATTCTGGAACACAGGCATCCTGACTAGAGCGAATGAAGCGGCTTATGACAATGTATAACCACTGTTAGTATATTGAGCGACGAATTCTGGACGCTACCACTACCAGAGGGTTTTAATTACAAAAGAGTTATCGTTAGCCTGGCAAGTGTGCTTTGTGCCCGTGCGAGTGACTGGAGACAGACAATCCAGCTTAGGGAGATGGCAGTCAAAGGTAGATCCTGTGCGCCATGCAGCAAAGCAACCCCGGGGCCCAGGAAGCGGTAAAAATCCAGGAACGCAGGAGACGAGAATAATGACCAGTGGGACTAAATGCCAAAAAGGACAGCATAAAAAGTGAGCTTGGTGAAACGGGCTGAGAAGGTACACGCATGCTACAGATTCATGGGGAGCTGGCCGCCTGGAGCTCACCTTGTAACTCTGAGAATTAAATACAGGAACTAAGACTCGGATCTGGGAAGATGAGCACAGGAGGCTGTGCGATGCAGTTCTAATGCCTAATAAATCTTTAAATCGATGAGCCGTGCTCACTGTTTATTCTTCTCCATCCTTCCTCCCCAGGCAAGGGCTCACATGACAAAAGCCAGCATTTGCTCTGGATTTGCCTTTGGACGGGGTATATATACATATGCGTGTCTGTATAAATAAAATTGGGAGTTCACTAAATAACATCTTAAAGCATCAAAAAATCTGCCATTATAAGAAAACCTGGTGAATTCTTTTGTCAAGTAGCCTTTAATAAAGTGAAGAAACCTCTTAGGATGCAAAATCCCCCTCCCCTCACACTGGGCCAGGGTTCCACCAGCTGTGGTTAAGTCAGCATTCCCGTCCCAACCTGTTCATTTGGGTACCTGTTTGGGTCTATTCACTACGCATGCATCTTACTGGGTTTGCATTTTTCATCCCAGAAACACAGCTTAAGCCTGTCGCACAAACCTGACAGAAGCATTACATTTTATAAACCAATCATCCCCGGGGAACAGACAAGAAAACCATCAGCAATGAGCGTTGTCAAAGTTCCAAACCAGAGCATTCCTTTCCCAGATCCGAGATGCAGAATACGCCACATCCTCTCCACACACCAGCTGCCTGCTCCAGAAGCCACACACTCACCTCACCACTGGCTGCCCCCCCGACCGCCCCTCCCGGCCCCTTCAGGCCTCCTCTCCCATCTGAATAAAAGCTGGAGAGACCCGTCTTGGGGAAGCAGTAACATTTTAATACTACTGTAAAGACAACTGCTCTAAGCACTGGAATGTTGGCTCCTTTTCCATGAATAAAAAGGCCCCCAAAGGGTATTATCATAACAAAATGATATCCTATGGAGAGCACCAGGAACTACAAAAATAAAATCGCCATAAACTGACACTGTCTCAAAATTAAACCTACACAAAGAAACGTTAAACCCCAAGGCAGGCAGGCTCTCATTTTCCCATCTAAAACCCTTACAATATTCCCAGTTCTCTCATGACGTCCAATTTCCCCCACCCGAGGAGGCCTAAATGCTTTCTTTCGAAGTCCCGGTATGTTATTTTTTTTCCCTTGAAACCCTCGAGATGCTCTGTAACATTCATCTAAAGCTCAATCGTGGCTGTGTCCTCGGTCACACCCAAAGATTCCCAAAGGCACCGTCTGCCGCAGCGCCGGGTGCACAGCAGGTGCCCCACTAATGTGCGGATTTGATTTGATCAGATCTGGCCCCTTCGGCTAGAAAGACACATTGGTAGCCAGACGCCCAGGCGGGGACAGCAGCGCCAGCCTAGCTCTCTGCCGGAGGCGGCGGGGTGCAACCACCTGTGGGCGGGTGACCGGGGCTCAGGCCTCGGCGCAGCTGCCCTGGAGTGCCTCCGCGGCTCCACGCACAGACCCCGGGGAAAGTCCGGCGCCCCAGGCCCGGGAGCACCCCAGGGCCGACTCCCAGCGCCCCAGCAGGGGCTCTGCCGGTGCAAAGTTGGCCTGGTCCGCGAGGATCCATTCTAGAGTTAGCTCCCAAGTCGACCGGCCGCCTGTGAGGCAGCGAGCCAGAGGGGCTCTTTAGGATGGGACCGGGTTGGGGGGTGGGGCGGAGTGGTACACCAAGATGGGAACAGAAGAGAGAAGTGGTCCCCCGACTCGCGCCCAAACTTGGGGCACCTGCCGGCCAGCAGGCGAGGGGGATTTTCCGCCTTGACGTCCCACCAAGGCCTAGTGGCGAGTTTGTCGGGGCAAGCGGGCCACCCCATGGCAGCCCCGCATTGCTTTGAGATTTTCTAACCAATAATCCAGCACCGAGAAGGCCGATGCAGGAACCTGGGGGATAGAAGGGGAACACCAGTCACCCGCGCCAGGGGGCGGGGACTTGGGACTCGGGGGCGCGGGCCAGGGATGGGGCCCCGGAAGAGAGCAGGACGGGGTTGCCCGAGAGGGAACCAGACTAGGAGTGCTTGCAGAAGGGGGAGGGGATCCCGGAGAGGTACAAGGGGAGCGCCCCAGAGGGAAGCATCGGGGGGAGGGAGCTGCCCCAAGGGCCGCGGGGTGCCAGTGTCCCGGACCGGCCCCGTCACTCACCGGCAGGTCCACGCTCACTTCGGTCCCGTCGAGCAGGAAGACGCGGCAGTAGAGCGTGGTCTTGGAGGCCCCGGCGGCGGAGATGTGCACGGCCGCGCAGCCCATGAGCAGGGGCCCGCCGCCGGCCGGGAACACACTGCCCCCGGGCGCGGCGGGCAGCGTGGACACGGCGGCGGCGGCCGGGCCCCCCCGCGGACCCCCGTCGCGCTCGTCCCCCAGGCCGGCGGTCCCGCGCCCTGCCGCGCCCCGCGCGTAGCGCTGCATGGAGCGGCGGCCAAAGGTCCGGCGCAGGAACCGCAGCATCCTGGCTGGGGGCGTCCCCTGCCTCCGCCCCCTGCGCCGCCGCCGCTGCGCCGCCGCCCAGGAGCGCCCCGCGACGCCGTCAGTGCAGGCGGCCGCCCGCGCCGCCTCCCGCCGGCTGCGGACCGGGGCTCGCTCCCGCCGAGGACGAGGCCGCGCTTCGGCTGCCCGCGGGGCGCGCCGGCCCAGCCAGCGCCGGCTGCGAGTGGCCGCGGGCGGGAGGGCGCGCTCGG